GGGGGAAGGTGGGTTCATCGGTAAGGCTGGGAGGTGGGGGGGCCGGGTGAGGCCTGACTTCGGGGGCTCAGGCTGGAGGAGGACAGAAACCATCACACAGTTGAGGCCCATGAAGTCATCCTGGGGGTGGGTCAGATGCAGATCCCAGCCCCACGGGGTAAGGCTGGGAGGTGAGGGGGGGCAGATGGGATCAGACTGGTTGACAGGGTGAGATGGGTCCTTGCCCTATGGGGTTACATGGGGGAGGGGTGAGCAACCTGTGTTGTGTAGAGTCAGGCTGGGCTGTGATGAGGAGAGGGGGTCACACAGGGAGGGAGGCTGCCTCTATGGGGCTAGTTAAGGGGAAGGATCACAGCCCCAGAAATGGAGCATGTAGTCTCTCCTTATCCCCATCTCTGCAGCACATGGGCTCCAAGTAGGGTTGCTCCAGGATCACTTATCCCCATCTGCTGGCTCCAGGCTGGGGTTGGGCCCTCTGCATCCATCAGCATGACACCAAGGGACAGGAGGCTGCTTGTCCCTGGCCCCTGCAGAAATGTGGCTGTCTTGCCCATCCCCCTCCATAACCCCACAGACCTCAGGGCTCTGTCCCAGTTTAGACCAGAACTCAGACTGGGCACCTGTCAGCCGACAGTCAGGGCAGTGAGTCCCTTATGACCGGCTGAAGTTCTTTTAAATTGTGCTTGGTTCTGTTACAGCAACTGAAGGAGTCAGGTTAAAGCTTAAACAGTTACTATTTTATTGTTACAGGGTAAACTTAGTTGTTAAATGCTACTACTGTGTTACAGATAACACAGACACTACAAAGGACAGGACAGAAATTACACTAATAAGTCACTTACAGGTACCATGAAACCCTTTGGTTCTCTGAGCTCTTATTAAATGCATGCAAAATAGACACATAGCAGGTATATATTCTCACCCCTGCGTTCCAGACTTGGCGTGGCCAGCGTCTTTCTCTCAATCCCTCGGGAAGAAGTAGGGCGAGGTTGGGCGTCCCACAGACCTCGGGAGACAATCAATACCTGCCAGCAGGTATAGATGATTGGAGCTCAAATGGGGTGGGCGGCTGAACCTCTTTTATACCCCTTGGGTCATGTAGGCTTCTTCCTGGGCTCAAGTGGCCAATTAGGAAAAATGGCTTTGAACACCAAGTTTCCCACGAAGGGTGCAAAGCATAATTTACACCTGGGAAAAATGCAGACAATGGGCACCTCTGGTATGTGATGGGCGAAGATTCCTCTCCTGGGACAGTGCAGGTGTGTCAATTACTGGTACTAGCCATCAGGGTGACGGGAGGCCCCGGGTCGTCAGCTAGCCCATTTACTGTC